CCTGAAGCTTATAGATTTGCCGACGCTTCAGAGTCGTAGAGAGATGCTTGGTGTTCTTTTTTTAATTAAATTAATGAACGGGATGGTCAGTAGTCCCTTTTTACTGAGTGAGATAAATTTTTGTATTCCTACAAGACCCACGAGACATTTTAAACCTATTGTGTTGAGTATTTGTAAATCAAACTTTGAAATGCATGATGCTTTTCGGTGCTTATGCCAAGATTTTAACAAGCATTATGATTGCATCGACATATCTGAATCGCTTTTTGTAATAAAGAAAACATTGCTCAACAAGTTAACTAAATAAACTAATATCTGCAACCGTGAACGAAAAAATTACACAATATCTATGACTGCTTAGTACAATTGTAACGGCTTCGTATATTTCCGCGACCGCGTAGGACAATAGGAGCAGGGATCGGAAACTCGGCCTTTCCGACCTCGCCCAACAGTTCGTCTATAGCGTGGAGCGGAAACTAGGACTTTCCGCCTGCCTCACTTACAAAGTAACGACTACGGGAACATGGATCGGAAGCTCGGCCTTTCCGACCATGATCAACGGCCTGTAAACAGGGCGGAGCGGAAACTAGGTCTTTCCGCCCGCCGCACACAAAAGTAGACTGGAGACAAGGCCTCGCCAGCTACCCATATTGCTATTGAGTATCATTGTTATCTTTACAAGTTAATATTTATAATTATTTCACTCTGTAATGTATCACACATACTTAAATATTCTAAATCTTTTTATCTCAACTGTCTGTAAGAAAACATTTTTCTGTAGACTAAATAAATAAATAAATAAATAAATTGCCGTTCGATCCGGCTCGAAGGACCTTGGTCGAGCCGAGTAATGGTTTTTACCGGCTGTCGAATGCAAAAAAATAATTTAACAAATTGAAGTCTGTTTTATGCCTTTATTGCTCCGTACGCTAGGAGATCTTCAAATGGACTGTACAGACAATTTATAAAACTATTTGGTTATGCTTAAATATTAATAACGACGAATAGCGGGAGAAGAGCGATATGGAAATGTGCGGTTTAGCGATGCTTATTGTTGTTTGTGCAGCGAAGAATTTATAACCGCTACGACGAGTGACGCGCGCAACGATGGTCCAAAAATTGTGTTGTTTATGCACGCACCTTTGCATAAGCTGCTGATTAGCGGTGCGTTAGCAACAACAATGAAGTGCAATGCAGCGACGAAAGTGCAATGTAGAGCGACCGAAGCATGAGTAATGAAAAG